CTGGGAGACTTAAACCAGGATTTCACTCTGGGGGACTTAAACCAGGGTTTCAAATCTGGGGGGACTTAAAACCCGGGGTTTCCTCTGGGGGACTTAAAAACCCGGGTTTCACTCTGGGGGACTTTTAAAAAAGGATTTCAATCTGGGAGACCCCTTTAAAACCCGGAATTTTACTCTGGGAGACCCTTTAAAAACCCGGATTTCACCGGGAGAAATTAAACCAAGATTTCACTCCCGGGAGACTTTTAAAACCCGGGTTTTCCCCTGGGAACTTAAAAACCCGGATTTTCACTCTGGGGGAAATTAAACCCCAAAATTTCAAATCGGGAGACTTAAAAACCCGGGTTTCAAACTGGGAAAACTTAAAACCCGAATTTTTAATCTGGGGGACCCTTAAAAACCCGGTTTCCCAAACTGGGAGAAATTAAACCAGGATTTCAATCTGGGAGAAAATAAAAAAACCCGATTTTTAATCTGGGAGACTTAAACCAGGGGTTTTAGTCTGGGGACTTAAAAACCCGGATTTCAATCTGGGAGCCCTTTAAAACCCGGGTTTCCCGTCTGGGAGAAATAAAACCTGGATTTCAATCTGGGAGACTTAAACCAGGGGTTTTATCTGGGGGACTTAAACCAGGGTTTCAGTCTTTGAGACTTAAACCAGGGTTTCATCTGGGAGACTTAAACCAGGGTTTCAATCTGGGAGACTTAAACCAGGGTTTCAGTCTGGGGGACTTAAACCAGGGGTTTTCATCTGGGAGACTTAAAACCCGGGTTTCGTCTGGGAGACTTAAACCAGGGTTTCAGTCTGGGGACTTAAACCAGGGTTTCAATCTGGGAGACTTAACCCGGGTTTCATCTGGGAGACTTAAACCAGGGTTTCAGTTGGGAGACTTAAAACCAGGTTTCAGTCTGGGAGACTTAAACCAGGGTTTCAGTCTGGGAGACTTAAACCAGGTTTCAGTCTGGGAGACTTTAAACCAGGTTTCAGTTGGGAGACTTAAAACCAGGGTTTCAGTCTGGGGACTTAAACCGGGTTTCAGTCTGGGAGACTTAAACCAGGGTTTTTTAGTCTGGGAGACTTAAACCGGGTTTCAGTCTGGGAGATTAAACCAGGGTTTTCAGTCTGGGAGACTTAAACCAGGGTTTCAGTCTGGGAGACTTAAACCAGGGTTTCAGTCTGGGAGACTTAAACCAGGGTTTCAGTCTGGGAGACTTAAACCAGGATTTTAGTCTGGGAGACTTAAACCAGGATTTCAATCTGGGACACTTAAACCAGGATTTCAATCTGGGACACTTAAACCAGGATTTCACTCTGGGAGACTTAAACCAGGATTTCAATCTGGGAGACTTAAACCAGGATTTCAATCTGGGAGACTTAAACCAGGATTTCAGTCTGGGAGGCATAAACCAAGATTTCAGTCTGGGAGACTTAAACCAGGATTTCACTCTGGGAGACTTAAACCAGGATTTCAGTCTGGGAGACTTAAACCAGGATTTCAATCTGGGACACTTAAACCAGGATTTCACTCTGGGAGACTTAAACCAGGATTTCAATCTGGGAGACTTAAACCAGGATTTCAATCTGGGAGACTTAAACCAGGATTTCAGTCTGGGAGGCATAAACCAAGATTTCAGTCTGGGAGACTTTAAAACCCGGATTTCACTCTGGGAGACTTAAACCAGGATTTCACTCTGGGAGACTTAAACCAGGATTTCAATCTGGGAGACTTAAACCAGGATTTCAATCTGGGAGACTTAAACCAGGATTTCAAACTTTTGTGGGAGACTTAAACCAGGATTTCACTCTGGGAGACTTAAACAACATGGAGATTTCCATCATCTGGAACTTAAACCAGATTTCACTCTGGGAGGGCTTAAACAGGATTTCAATCTGGGAGACTTAAACCAGGATTTCATCTGGGAGACTTAAACCAGGATTTCAGTCTGGGAGGCATAAACCAAGATTTCAGTCTGGGAGACTAAAAACCCGGATTTCACTCTGGGAGACTTAAACCAGGATTTCCTTGGGAGACCTTTTAAAACCCGATTTCACTCCTGGAGACTTTAAACGGATTTCACTCTGGGAGACTTAAACCGGTTTTTATTGGGGGATTAAACCTTTTTTGGGGGTT